CTGGCAACCTCCACGTGGTGCACATTGGGTAACGCTAATGCCGGCGGTAAACATCATTTTTCAAGAAAATGCATGGTTCGCTTCAAAGTCATGTAACTCGGTCAAGAAAAATCGTAGGAAAATTTTAAAAAAAGCATTTTGTAGGTAAAATGTCGTAGATTGTGGAACTTGTATCAAATTTGTCGAGAGAATTTTTTTTATCGAGCTACAGTGTCAAAAATACGTAATTTTAAGGAACAAAACAATGTGTTCTTTTTTAAAGCACAGAACGAGGAAGATGAATATGTCGAAATAAATCATTGAGAGAGTTTTAAAGTTGAAACTTCAAGCTTTAAAATGCTTGTTTAATTTTGTGTCTACGATTATTTTTCGCCGAGTTACAGTGGTTTGAAAATAGCCCAATTTTTGGGGTATGAAAAGTGTTCCCTATTTTTTTTTTGAGTAGTGTATATTGTTTGTCAGAGTTTCAAGATGTTGTTGACACACTTCTAAGACTCGTGCCGTAGTGCCAGTTTTATTACGGTTTTTGGATGTCTGTATATTCTAAATTATATATTATCATTACTCTTTTATTGAGAGAAAATATAAGATAGGAAAATTAATCTGATCATTCGAAATACTTTTGTTATAATTCAATTAAGCAGACTTATTGTCCTCAATATGTATAATTTTCTACTTACTTCTTTATCGCTTGTGTCACAACTACTTTCATTATATATTGGCTCATATGTTGTTTGTTCCGAGGTTGTTGGTTGGTTGGTTGTATATTGTGTGGCTTCAATCTGCGCACTTGTATTTGAAGTAATGTTACTATTTGATCTGTCTTTATTTATATTACAGTCTGATCTGCAACATAAAACAAATTATAAAAACATCTAATTACAACAAAAGTTAAGTTTTCATAAATATATTATCATTAAGAATACATACACATATGTATATAAATGTAATATTTGCTAATAATTAAGAGACCTATTTTATAACTTCTAACAATGTTGTTATGTCATGCGCACCTATATTACTGATACAAAAAACTTGCGCAGTGATAACATGACATACATAACATCATTAAAAGTTATATTATAAGAAGTTAAAATTCTATTTATTTATTTAAAATATAATGTAACATTTACGAAGATGTGGCTGATTTCCCATAGTTTTTTTAAATTATGCCTTTATTTCCTGACAGTAATAAAGGTTCGATGCTCTGTTTTCCCCCTAATAGCTCTGTTAACTCTCTGTAATTAAATGAAATACGTTTTTATATATAATTTTTTTGTAAAATTTAAAATTAATTAAAGATAAATTATTAAAAATTAATTTTATTATTTAAAAGTTAATTATAATACTTACGTCTCGTAAGGACAAGATATTCTATTTCTCCCAGTCTTTTTATTATGTGTTATTACATTTTTAAAAGATCGTTCCAACGACTTATATTTATTTTCCACTTGCATTGCAGAAACATTGTAATTTTGTAGTTTCATTTTTTCAGATATTTTTTGCCACAAAATTTTTTTTGTTTTAATTTTTCTTTGTGTGACTAGGTCTTTGTTTTCTTTATATAAAGATAAAAATAACTTAGTACTTGCATCTGTCCAAGAAAAAACTTCGTCTCTATGTACTTCTATTTCAGCATTATCATTGTTCAATTGATCTTGTGTGTTGTATTAGGTGTTGTGTTATTGTCATTTAATAATATTAATATCTTCTTATTGTCAAATATGCAGCGCATACTATCAACATTAAAATCTATTGTTTCATATAAATATTGAAATTCTAGTCCACCTGCAAATATATGCAGCATGAATATATTTCATATTTTGTTTTTGTATATATACATATATTGCAGATGTCGGAATTTACAATAGTACTTTTTGACGATGGACTTCAGTTGGTACCATCATCGTGGTTATTAGAAAATATTAGGGAGTTTAACGTGGTCGTTTTTTCTTCTCTAAGCTATCATTTCCACACCACCTTGTGGTAGATAGCTTGGCGCGTTTTTTTTTAAGTGGTTTCCTCAATAGGCCTAATCCACTCTCATTATTCATTGTATATAGCTTTTAAGCTCGCGCTTCGCGCTGTAGTATATCTTTGTTCTTTTCTTTTTTTTGCATTTTAAGTCAAAATTTCTTCACTTTCTTGATTTTCTATTTATGTTTCTTTTTTTTATTAATTGGATGAAATACTCTCTCCGGCGCACTTTCCTGCAGGAGTTTGCGGTCAAACAAACAAACAATAGCAATTGTTTAGAAATTTAGAAACTCTGTATCTGTTCAGGCGAATTAAGGCCTGCGTCTATGACGCTAGTACTTGGTCCAAGTTCTAATTCCGCGAAATATGTAGCCAACCAATGTAGCTGTTCCACAAAAGCTGCAAGTTGATTGGCTACGCATTCCTCAAAACTAGAACTTGGACCAAGTACTAGCATCATAGACACACTTAATTCGCCTGAACAGATACAGAGTTTCTAAATTTCTAAACAGTTGCTATTCTTTTCATCGGTGTTTTATTATTAACTCCATTATTTTTTCCAATAAAATCTTTAGTTTGATTTTTAAGAAATATAACATTTTTTAATCAAAAACTAATGCTAAAGCAACTAGTTTGTATAAATATCCGTTGTTTTATTTGGCGCAATTTGTTGATATCATTACTTTTGTAGAGAAGATAGTTTTGTAGAGAAGATATTTTTGTAGAGACGATATTTTTGTACAGAAGATTTTTGTGGAGACACTATTTTTGTAAAGAAGATACTTTTGCAGTAAAGATATTTTTGTAGAGATTATAGTTTTGCAAAAAAGATAGAGTAACAAAATATATTCGGTTGAATTGGAGCTTAGACTTGGTGCTTTTTTT